GCTATCTCATGAGGCAAAACTTCCTTCCAGCTGACACCTCTTATATAGAGCAGTCAATACTAAAGGCCTTGATACAAATTCTCTTGCCTCCAAGTAATACTAAGTTGAAAGAAACAGGAGAAAAGGAAATGTGTTTGTGCTACAGATCAATTAAATAGCAAAGATAGTAACATTTGGAGATTCTCAGAGTTAGCTGGCTGAGGTTTTCTGGGATTTCCATTTAAAAAAAACTAACTTTCCAAAGCTCACAGCAAAAGACACAGGACATTCATTCACCTCGTTTACTATCATCACCTTACAGATGAATATGACATGGGTTGATTATCTTTGATCCTGCAGATGTTTTGGACTACAGCTCTCACAATTTCATACCATTGGCCATATTAAGTGAGAGTTGTACATCAAAATATTTTGCAAGTCAAAATTTTATTTTTTATTTATTTATTTATTTGGACTTGTATGCCGCCACTCCCCTGGGGCTCGGAGCGGCTTACAAGAATAGCTAAAATCTAACAAAATTTAAAAGCAATTTAAAATAATTTAAAAACAGCAATATCAAACATTAAAAGCCTGTCGAAACAGGTATGTCTTACATGCCCTGCGGAAAGCTGGTAAGTCCCGCAAGGCACGGACTTCAGGTGGCAGAGTATTCCAGAGTGATGGTGCCACTGCTGTGAAGGCTCTGCGTCTGGTTGCTGTTAGACGCAAGGTCTTGACACTGGGGACTTCCAATAGATCTTGGTCCTCAGAACGGAGGGATCTCTGCGGTTGGTATGCTTTGTCTTGGTGAATAGAAAAAAGTAAAATACATGTGCATTACTGCTCTCCCCTTGCTATTAACACCTTTGACTTAAACTATTTACAATTTTAAAGTAATGAACCTCTGAATACTTTGTTGATAGATAACCGGATTTCTTCTAATGAGCTTTTGCGGGATTGAAGCCTATGTCTGTTATTATATCATTGGGTTATTTGCATCATATATTTTCCACAGCCACAACCTGATCTAACTGAATTTCCCATTGCATTGCAGATTCTTTTCTAACATCAAGACACTGATAAAGCAGAAGGTCTTTCCTTTGAATTGTGAAACACATAGCATAGTTCTTATTAGCATTATAATCTTGGGCTCCCCAAACTGTAGTCCCCAGGATACCCTGATTCAGTCCTTTAATTCAAGTTCTTTCAACTCAGAAAATGTAAAGATTTCCCATGTGACATTAAGTCTAGTCGTGTCCAACTCTGATGGGTGGTGCTCATCTCCATTTCTAAGCTGAAGAGTCTGTAGATACCTCCAAAGTCATGTGGCATGACTCATGAAGCGCTGTTACCTTGCCACAGAAGCGGTGTCTATTGATCTACTCACATTTCATGTTGTCAAACTGCTAGGTTGGCAGAAGCACTCAGAAGTACCTTGGAAACAATAGTACAGATAATAGATAATTCTAAGTATCCAAACAGTCTACAAATCTCAGGATTCTGTAGGCAGGTAAACTGCCAAGCTATAATGATATATAATGTAGATATACTCTCAGGTTGGATCTACACTGCCCTATAATCCAGTTTCTGAATCCAGATTATCTGTTTTGAACTGAATTATAACAGTCTACACTGCCCTATAATTCAGTTTAACATGGATAATCTGAATTCAGAAATTGGATTATAGGGCAGTGTTGGTGGGGCCTCAGTTATTTAAAAAAAAGGATTGTGGATGATAAGAGGTTGTGGGGGTTGAAGGTTGAAACTACAATGGTTCATCTCCATCATTTAAACCTTTCTGAACTAGTGATTCCTATTACTAAATTTTCCCTTTACAATTCTTTTTAAGGTGCAAATGCCAAAATTGTGTAGTACACACATGATTCAGCTGGAGGGACAGGAAATCTCTAAGGAAGGAGAAGGAAGCAAACTCAGTTATAAGAAGGGAGGGGGCCCTATTTTCTTCCCGTGGAGGGAAGCATGTGATAAATAGTGCGGACTATCTGCCAAGCGGTATCATTCTTACTTCTAGGGCCGCATGCTCCAGAGGTGAAAGGATTCTCTGTCCATTCAGTTTGCAACACAGCCAGCTGATGTCAGCTTGAAGAGCATTTTATTTGTTTATGTTTAGGACACATGTCCACTGGAAATTTTATTCAGTTTACGGCAGCCGCTGAGAGAGTAAACAGTTCTCAGTTGTTGCAAAGAAATGACTGTGGGCTGTGTAAAAATGCACTCGACCTGCAGTGACCTTAAGAAAAAAGAGGCATTGCCAGAGATCTACTTAAGCCTTGGCTCACACTCCTTCACATAGAAAGATCTCATGATCCTTTCTCCTTGGTTTCAATTCAACACTCACAAGGATTCGGCAAGATTGCAGGGATACAAATAATAGTAAACACACCCATTTCCTGGGGGCTGTTCTGAGCCATTTCTCCCAAAGCTCTTGCAGCTCAAAAGCCAATTCTTGTTCAGTAGCAAAGAAACTAAAAAATTAAAGGAAAGTTTAACTTGCAGGCCAGTGTGTTGGAGAAGGTGGACACACTCTGGAGATGGGGAAGAGGTCGTATACAATTAATGACCTCTTTCAACATATTAAATGAACATGACTTGCACATAGTCATTATAAAAACAAATACCTAATATGCCCACATTTGAATACTGGTGGGATGAGGGGGGGGGGTCGATTTTGTCATTTGGGAGTTGCTGGAATTTATAGTTCACCTACAATCAAACACCATTTCGAACTCCATCAACTATGGAATTGAACCAAACTTGGCACACAGAACTCCCATGACCAACAGAAAATACTGGAAGGGTCTGGCAGGTATTGACTTTGAGTTTTGGAGTTGTAGTTCACCTACATCCAGAGAGCACTCTGGACTCAAACAATGATGGATCTGGACCAAACTTGGCATGAATACTCAATATGCCCAAATTTGAACACTGGTGGAGTTTGGGGGGAAATAGACCTTGACATTTGGGAGTTGTAGTTGCTGGGATTTACAGTTCACATGCAATCAAAGAGCATTATGAATCCCACCAACAATAGAATTGGGCCAAACTTCCCACACAGAAACCCCATCATCAATGGAAAATACTGTGTTTTCTGATGGTTTTGGTGACCCCTCTGACACCCTCTTGCAACCCCCAGGTTGAGAAACACTGTTCTAGTGCATGCCTCAGCCTTCAAGAAACAATGTAATCAGTCGTCTTCCTGATCACTTCTGCAATGATATTCTGGCTGTCAACAGGGGTGTAGTTATTCCGACAGTCCTTTCCTAAGAGATTAAATAACAGGGCCTATTTCTGTAGCTTGTAATCAGCTTTATATCTGATGCTTTGTGCTTAGTGGCATGTGAGGAATGCAGTGGGTTATAGTGCAGCAAAAGCTACAGATCCAAATATTCCCCACCTCAATATAGGTGAAGGAATAACTTGCCACATGCTCTCCCAGCAACAGACATGGAAACAAAATCCTTCTTAAACTTCTCCACCCCAACGTCCTGTTTTTGGCTGTCAACTCAATAATACCCACATCTGTCAGGAGGACTTTGATCATGTATTCTCGCATGGCCAAATAGGGTTGGACTAGATTGGCATTGTTGTCTCTTCCAACTCTATGGTTCCACAATTCCACTTTTTTCTAAGTTGTTCCTTTATAGTAGCAGTGGTTGCTGTTGCTGTCTGCCTCTTCATGTCATTTCCAATTTACGGCACCCCCAAGGTGCATATCTTGGAATTCTCATGTTCAGAACTCTAGTCCAAGAATCAGACCACTACGCAATGCTTGCCTCTCAAGGGGAAAAGGATAAGAAACACTTAAGAACTCATCACAAAGGGATAAAAATTCACCACACATCAAGGCGAATCCATGGAGTCCTGGCAGGGGTGGTGGAGGAGGAGAACCCATCACTCCATGCCCCACATTGCCCAATTTACCTGAGACCCCATCCCACGGGGGGAGGGGCGTCACCACTCAACTCCCCCCCCCCCATTGATCCAAAGGCAACACAGGAAGCCTCCCATGTTGCCACCCTGTGGGAGTACACAACTTGTTCTCCCCATGGCTGGAAGTACACGTGTGCCATGTAATGGGCTCTGTGTGAAAAGAAGAGAGCAAGAAGTGTATGATGGGCAAATCAGCCCATCTAATGAGGTGATCAATCTGGTTTACTTAATCTAAACAGAAGGTTGATCCAGAGGTCTGGTGAACAGAGGGCAGTGAGAAATTGGCAGTAACGGCATTGACCTTGATTAGCATCTTTATAAGTTCTAGCAACTGGCCCCTGGTGGCGCAGTGGATTAAACCACTGAGCTGCTGAACTTGCTTACTGAAAGATCCCAGGTACAAATCCGGGGAGTGGGGTGAGCCCCAGCATCTGTCAACCTAGCAATTGAAAACATGCAAATGTTATGCTAACGTTAATTTTTTAATAGATAAATAGGTGCCCAGCGCTCCATGCAGTCATCCTGGCCACATGACCTTGGAAGTGTCTATGGGCAATGCCAGCTCTTCATCTTAGAAATAGAGATGAGCACCAACCTCCAGAGTTGGACACGACTGGATTTAATGTCAGGGGAAAACCTTTACCTTAACCCTCTTTACTTGCAAGTTGGTACTGATTTTGACAAATCCACAATTAATGCAGGATAAAAACTAGGCTCATTTCAACTCCCAAAAATCCTACAGTCAGGGCCCTGTCTACAGTAATGTAGATTATCTGATTTGATAATCTGGATTATATGGAAGTGTAGCAGAGGCCTAGGAAATTGTAGTTCACAAAAAATTATCTACTAACTGTTATTATGATGTAAAGGTTTCAGCAATGAAAGGGGTTTAATCATTATCATGCATAGTTCTCCACCTTTTATTTTATTTCAGGTTTTCAAGTATGTATCCGCTTATGTTTCCTTGAAATAAAAAGCTAAGCAAGTACAGGACACCAAACCCCTCTGTTGATGGGGGGGGGGGGGAGAGGGAGAAGGGGAGGAGAGTCACTGCAAAGTGCTCCAGAGCACAAACTCCAGTCTCTCTCTCTTTCATCCGGGGTCACACTAGAAACCTCAAGTGCTAGGAGGACTTCCTAGGTGAAACCCAAACGTATTTTCTCATCGTTTCTCCTTCTTTTCAAGCAATATTCTCACAGACATTGTGCTGGGCAGCCCTGGGAAGACACTTTCCTCAGAAGGGTAAGAATATTCTAAATCCTATTTGTATAAAGTTGGCTTTCTTGCTAGTTTGGGGTCTCCAACCCATATCTTGATGTCTTTTGGATTGTGAATGACCTCCAGGCTGTAACATCAGCTATAGCTATGAAAAGGTCCTGGAAAGTTGAGCTAACGTTAATTTTTTAAATTAATTTCTCTGTGTAGGTCTTCCTGTTCCAATTAATGCTTATTTATTGAAAGAAACCTCAATAATTTGTCTAACAGACAATTGTTACCAGAATTTCATGTGATTCACATAAGCATATCTTGATTTGTATAGTATATAAGAAACACCACTTGAAAATATTGATGTAATGAGAGAGAGAGTGCAACAGTCTCCAAAAAGAAAAGACAGATCCTAAATTAGAATAGGATCATAGGTATACTATATATAGTATAAATTGTGTGTTTGTACATATGTGTGTGAAATAAAGGATATATATGCATGTGTGTATGGAATAAAGGATCTCTGGATACATTTCCTTACGAAAGCAATGTCAGCATAGCCACTTGAAGATAAATTAAAGCATCAAAGGTAAAGCAAATTCTCAATTAATAACCATGAAATTTGAGATTTTCACCATTAAGAAGGGAATTTGCTGGAAATCTTTATTGGAGCAGGCTGGTGGCGGTGGGGGGTGGGGGGATTTATATCCCAAAGAAAGAAATGCACTTTAAACTGCACTGTGTCTTAAAATGGCAAGCAGCTTTGAGGCTGGAGAGGATTGCTATTATTGGAAATGACTCTGATAGGTTTCAACAGATGCAACTTGTGGAATGCAACTGGGGAGGGGGGAGAGAGAGAGGAGGAGAAAGGGAGCAGCTGAGCCACCACTTTGGCAAAGCAACCTTTTGGGACCTCAGCTCATTCTGGCATGCAGGCGACACTGACACTGTTAAGACACTGTGGTGTCCCCCTGCCCCCATCCCCAGATCCTTGCTCACTTGCACATAGACCCAATGTGCTCTTTTTATTAAAGAGCACATTGGGTCTTTGGTATCTGCTGTGGTTTGTTTCCCGGACCCTCCATGGATACCAAAATCCATAGATGCTCAAGTCCTGTTCTGTACAATGGGCAATAAAAATGTCTCCCTTATATAAAATGACAAAATCAAGGTTTGTTTTGGGTGATTTATTTTCAGGCCATGGTTGGCTGAATCCCTAGATACAACATCCGTGGATACAGAGGGCTGACTACATTTTCTATACTTAAAATGCTGAACTGTACATGATTTAAAACTCAGCAGGAAGTGCTCTTCATCAGGAAAGCAGAAATGCAGGTGTTACTGCTTGATACATGGTTTTGTCGTAAATGATATCCTTGTTTATTTTTAAGATGTGGTGCCATATTTCATTGAGGGCCTACTAGAGAGTGCTGATGAACTCTTGTTTTTTTATTAATTGATTAAAAGTAACTTGTTGTCAGAGGCCCCAGTGGCCCAATGGGTTAAACCGCTGAGCTGGTGAATTTGCTGACCGAATCCAGGGAGCAGGATGAGCTCCCACTGTTAGCCCCAGCTTCTGCCAACTTAGCAATTAGAAAACATGCAAATGTGAATAGATGAATAGGTACCTCTCTTCTGGGAAGGTAATGGTGCTCCATGCTGTCATGCTGGCCACATGAACTTGGAGGTATCTACAGAAAATGGAGATGTGCACCAACCCAGAGTCAGACACAACTAGTCTTAATGTCAGGGTGAAACCTTTGCCTTTACCTTTTTAACTTGTTGTGAAAATACAGAATATTCATAAGCCTCAACTGAAACCAGTGTTTTATATCTTTAAATATGCTTCAGGGCCTTTATGCCGTCCCCTATTTCATATTCTCAATTATCATGTGAGATAAACTGAGAAAGAGGCAGTAACTGACACAAGATCATCCATTGAATCCCCCAACTGAATGTGCATTTGAATCTGAATACTAGTTCTATCCCTTAACTTTATATAGACAAAACTTGAAAAAGTAATGCTTTGGATGATGTTTTCAAAGTGTCCAGTCAGCAAATCTTTGAATATAGCCATAGTTTAACACAGTGGTTCCCAACCTGTGGGGACCCAATGTTTTTTTGTCCTGCAATAACAAAAATAGGGTCTGCAGCCTCACCATTAATACACCGTTGCCTCAAAACCACACGACGAGACCCTTTAATAGTGCCAAGGCAATCGGGATGTCGGGAGGGGCGAGGCTGACTACCCACAAAAGATTGCTACTACCACATCAGCTCTAGATTATTAAATATGGTATTCTGTAAGCGAGCAGATGGTGACTACTGGATGGCATATGTTCTGTATCAGAAACTAGACCTGACGTGGTCTATGCAATGCAATTTTCTGAATCAGCACCCCAAATAACCAAACCAAATCTGAAGTTGACCTAAAACTGATTCATAAGATTTTGGTACCAATGTTGGAGAGTGGTCCCTGGTCAAGTGGTCCCTGGACAAAGTGATCCTTAGTCAAGTGGTCCCTGGTCAAAACAAGGTTGGGAAGCACTGGTTTAACAGGACTAGAAAATGAAATATGGAATGGGATATTATGTATCAAATTCTGATTTAATTGGATGCAAAACAATAAATACCATGAACCTATTAATTCTATATTCCAAAAGACTCCAAAGCTATAGAACTGTAACAGCAGACATTCTTGTGTCACCCAACTCATTCAAAATATTCAAAGGCTCAAATTATCCAGGTTGTGTTCCAATTTTGCCTTCTGTTCATCCGTCTGTCCTTTCTTTCATATCGTGTTTCCATTAAAAAATAGACAAAATCTTAGATGTCATCAAAGTATGAGAGCATAGAAACAAGGTGGCTAAATGCAATTTGCATTAGGAGAAATGCTCATTGTTGCTTATTTTAAAACAGTCTGACTAGTTTATGCGGCCGCTTATTGTGACACCCAAAACTACATCTATCATTTGTTTTGGCTTGTTAAACCAGTTTTATACCCTAAAATATGAACTGAGAAACAATCCAGAAATGGGGAAGACAAGTTTCAGCTTCCTAAGTTGTCTTCCATGCAGCTTATGGGTAAAACAGCAAACCACAATTAACACAAACCATGGCATTACCATGATGTGTAAGTGTGCTTACTATCTGTGTCTTACCAAGTGTTAATTAACACGTAAGTTAGAGGCATGTGATAAAATGCTGTTCCCTGTCCTTCTCATACTGTTTTCCTATTGTGATTCTTCTCACAATAGATTATTCCAACAGCATGTTCAAATCTACAGACCAATGCAATATATTTATTACAAATGTTGTTTTTAATTGTCCTTTTCCTTTGCTTTCCAGCAAGCTCTTGGCTGTGATATTATCATTATTGCAGTCATGGCGCCTAAGAAGAAGAACATCAAGAAGAGCAAGGTAGATATCAATGAGCTGACCATCATAGTGGAAGATGGGCCCCTCAGCAAACTGAATGGTTTGAATGGCCTTTTGGAAGGAGGGAATGGCTTCAGTTGTGTTTCGACAGAGCTTTCTGATGCTCTCTACAGTCCCAATCTTTTGGAAGGATTGTGCCAAATGAGGTTGGAAAACTTCCTCTGTGATTTAGTCATTGGTACCAAGACCAAGTCTTTTGATGTCCACAAAGTAGTTATGGCTTCCTGTAGTGATTACTTCCATAATATCCTGAAGAAAGATCCATCCACTCAAAGAGTAGACCTCAATGATGTTTCTCCTTTGGGTCTAGCTACTGTCATTGCATATGCCTACACTGGGAAGCTGACACTCTCGTTGTACACTATAGGGAGTATTATCTCCACAGCCATTTACTTACAAATCCACACCCTTGTGAAGATGTGCAGTGATTTTTTGATGCAAGAAATCAATGTCGAAAACTACATGTACATTGCCAACATTGCAGAGACATATGGACTCAAGACTGCCAAGGAAGCGGCACAGAAATTCATCCGAGACAACTTCATTGAGTTTTCTGAGTCAGATCAGTTCTTAAAACTTTCTTTTGACCGGATCAATGAACTCCTTGCAGATGATGACTTGCAGTTGCCTTCTGAACTTGTTGCATTCCAGATTGCAATGAGATGGCTGGAGTTTGACCAAAAAAGAGCAAAATATGCTGCTGATCTTTTGAACAACATCCGGTTTGGTACCATCTCAGCTCAGGACCTAGTGAATTATGTGCAGACTACACCAAGAATGATGCAAGATATGGATTGCCATAGACTTTTAGTGGATGCCATGAATTACCATCTACTTCCATATCACCAGAATACACTACAGTCTAGAAGAACCAGGATTCGTGGGGGATTACGAGTCCTGGTCACAGTTGGGGGACGCCCAGCTTTAACAGAGAAATCCCTTAGCAGAGACATTTTATACAGAGATCCTGACAATGGATGGAAGAGGCTTACAGAGATGCCAGCTAAGAGCTTCAACCAATGTGTCGCTGTGATGGATGGATTCCTCTATGTGGCAGGTGGTGAAGACCAGAATGATGCCAGGAATCAGGCTAAGCATGCAGTCAGCAATTTCTCCAGGTAAGTGATTATTTATAGGGGTGGAGAGGCAAGCATGTTCCAGAGAGGGAAGGGGAGGGAGACGGAAAGAGGTTGAGCTGCTCATAACAGATCATACAGAAAACAGAACAGGACAAAAATATTGATTAAGGAATTTTGAGAAAAAACACTTATGGCTGAGAAACGTGATCTGTGACATTCAACAAGAAAAAAACCAAGGCAAAAAATTTATGCTCAAAAGATGGCAGAGATACTTGATAAAGCCAAAATATATCGTAATTCAAGAATTAAGGGAAAGTTCTGACAGCAATGCAAAATTTAGAAATAAGGTTAAATAGTATTTTTTTCTCTTTTTCTTTATTATTATTATTATTATTAACAAATGAAAAAGAAATCTCTCAATATGGACACACAAACTGAAAAGGCATGAACAAATAACAAAAACTATTATGGAATCTGGTGCCAAAGTATAATGACAGTAATACATATATATATATACCTTTGGGCTTCTTTGGGCCACATTAGAAGAAGAATTGTCTTGTCCACACATAAAACACACAAACACTTATGATAGCTGATGAGCAAAAAGAAAAAAAGAAAGAAAGAAAGAAAGAAAGAAAGAAAGAAAGAAAGAAAGAAAGAAAGAAAGATGTGTGCATGATTTTCATGGCATATGACACCAGAGATAGGCAAAAAAAAAGTCTTTGCAAAATAATCTTAATTATGTGCTGCCCCTTTGGAGGGTCTTTTAAAATTGTTGAGCATGTCTTCTAGCAGAGCTGTTTACAGTTATATCATGAATTATGGATAATACTTGTAGACATAACATGCTCTAGTTATTCCATTTCATTCTATTGTCATCTACAAAGTTCGTGCTCAAGTGCCACACCATCAAGTTACAAAAAATGAACAGGTCAGCAGTTCAAATCTGGGGAGAGCAGGTTGAGCTCCCATCTGTCAGCTCCAGCTCCCCATGCGGGGGCATGAGAGAAGCCTCCCACAGGGATGGTAAAACATCAAACATCCAGGCGTCCCTTGGGCAACTTGCTTGAAGACGGCCAATTCTCTCACACCAGAAATGACTTGCAGTTTCTCAAGTTGCTCCTGGCACGAAAAAAAGTCTGTTTAAAAAAATTATTTGTCCTTATAGTGAATTCTTGCTGATTCCAACATCCTGTGATGAAGGCAGGTTTTTGTGTTATTTATTTATTATTTATTTATTAGTAAACTCATGTTCCACTTTTCAGAAAATTAAAATGGTGGTTAGAGTGGCTATTAACTGCAAATGTCAAATAAAAACAAATATAATTAAAATCTAAAATTTGGGCAAAAACACCGCTAAATATGCAGCAGTAAAAAGACAATTATTTCATAGAATTAGCAATATGTTAACTATTCACACTTGGATAGAACCAGGACTGTTCCTTGGGAATAATTTCACTTTCAAGTAGATTTGTCACTTGTTTTGAAATGGGGAGTGGGGAGACACCAGGATATTTTTGAAGCAGCTGAGAAAATAGGGTGACAGAAAATAACTACAGTTGGCAGGTATGTGGAACATGTGGTTCACAAGGAATATATCGAAGGATTTAAATTCTGTATATTCAGCTGAAACGAGGATGTCAGACTAGAAACAGCATCCAGTGCTTTTACATCATACTGTGACATTTTGTAAGGAGCACATTTTGAAAGGAGAGTAGTGGTTGCAGCAATTCAAGGCAACAAGCCTCTCCCTTGGGTGGTGTGCTGGAAAGTCCACTCACAACAGGTGAAATCTGTCCCCTCCATGCATAAATATTCCCCCTACCCATGATCTTCCTTTCTCTTCCCTTTTCCTCTTTCAGCTTCTGCTTACTTTAGTTGCCACAAGCTGTGTTGAAAGCACAAAAGTAGTTTTTTGGACTGAGATAACTCAATAGAAGGGCATGGAGAGAATGGGTCTCCAAATAGACCCATTTGTTATACCTTCCCGCCTTAGTGCATCAAATTTCAGGGATTTTTCAGTTAACATAGTAGCGTTGCATGTCCTTCCCCTAATCTTTCCTTTCTAACCACATTCGGATGTTGTCTGGTCATAAGTCTCCTGGTTTTCACCTGCAAAACATTGCAGGGTGTGTTTCCAATATATACCAGTTTTCAGAAAGTTTCCATCTTGTGCCTTTTTGATGAAATTCCTCAAGTATTAGGATACAAATGAGTGAGAAAAATTTAGAAGTAATGAAGTCCTGGCACATATGTATTTTCATGTTAGAAAAAACATCTACACCTATCTCAGATGTTGAATTGGTCCTGGCTTATTTGGTCACTATAGAAAATCCCTGTATGCATTTATGAGGCTGAGAGAGTATAACTTGTCCAACGTCATTTACTGGTTTCATGACTGAATGGAGATTTGAGCCCCAGTCTCCAGAGCCATAGTGTAACACACACCACTACCCCACATTGGCTCCCTATGATCATTACAGATGACAATTTCTGTGTGGTTTGCCTTTTTATTCTGACAGAAGTGCTGTCTATATGAAAAATAATTCCATTTCAGCTGTGCCCCAGTGTGAAATCTGAAACTTTAAAAATGAACTTCAAGTGCACTGTCCTGGGTCTTCCATAGGCAACTTTAAATAAATAGTGACGTTATATTTTCAGGATAAGAGTGAACATAGTATAGTTTGAGTATAAGATTATGCACCTGGGGACAAGCTTCAAATCCATGCTAAGGCATGGAAATCCACTGGCTGATCATGGGTAAGTTGTAGTCTCTCGGCCTCATAGAAAAACAAAGACAAACTCCTTTTGAACTAATCTTGCCAAGAAAATCCCATGGGAAGTTTGCCATATTGGCTTCTTGGACGGCGTTTCACACGCAAATGCTTGCTGCTGACTTATGTGCATTGCTTCCAGAAGGAAATGTCTGTTGAACAAGGGATTATAACTCAAAAGTAGAATGTCTCCCTTACACACAATAAGTCCCAGCCTGGTCATAATTGCATTGTTTAAGCAAATGGAAACACAGATATTGGAATGATCTCTTTTATAACCTTATCACATGGCCACCGAAATTAATTCACTTTGCGGAAGATGTGTGGAATCTGGTGCCCCATGCCCCACATCACCCAAATCCAGGTGAGGGCAATCTCATGGGGTGAAGCCTGGAGCACATATGGAGCACGTGGCTTCCCCCCCAATCGATTCAATGGCAACATAACAACAGTTCTGTGATCTCACTGGACAATGGAAGGTTCAAATGTTTATGCCGTGGTTGCTTGCATTGATGAGGAATCCTGACTCTTGAGTGCCAGGGTTAAAAATATGACTCTCACCCAAGTCAATAGAAAGGCACACTTCTATTTTGGTGTCATTCAGATTGTGTTGCAAATCGCACAAAGAAGGTAACAAGAAAGACTCTATATTCCACACATACTATTTCTAAAGATCTTCACTGCAAGATTTGGAGTCATGATGGAGCCCATAGAGACACAGTCAGGATTGCTGACTGATAGGTCAGCGGTTTGAATCCGGAGAGAGCAGCTTGAGCTCCCTCTGTCAGCTCCGGCTCCCCATTGCAGGGACATGAGAGAAACCTCCCACAAGGATGGTAAAACATCAAACATCCGGGCGTTCCCTGGGTAATGTCCTTGTAGATGGCCAATTATCTCACACCAAAAGCAACTTGCAGTTTCTCAAGTCACTCCTGACACACACAAAAAGCCACATGATCCCATGGTAAGAATGCTTCCCTTTGGGAAGAGGTTGGTATGTTTTGTTCCTAAGCATTCACTGGCTATATTTGATGATAACATGATTATGAAAAAAGTAACCATCAATTGTTAAATAAAATCCTCATATTTTAGCTGCTTATACATTTTTAACAAGCAGGCAGAACAAACAAAAAGACCCAAGAAATCAGTTGTTCTTTGCTGGGTTTTCTCCCTAGTCAATGTAACTTGCTGTTATTGCAGTTCTGAGCCAGCAAGTTATTTTTGACTTATGGTAGCCCTAAGGCAAACCTATCATAGGATTTTCTTGGCAAAGTTTGTTAAGAGAAGTTTGCCTTTCTCTGAGGCTGGGACTAGTCCAATCTGTTTTCATGGCTTGGTGAGGATTGGAACCCCAGTTTCCATTGCCATGGTCCAATGTTCAAATCACTTTAGAGTTGCCATAAATTGGACAGCACAACAATCAATAAAACAAGATGGGAGGTTTGAAGTTCTGTTTTATTTCCCCAAAGATATAGCAGCAGAACTACATGTGTGCCTGTATGTGTATAAGAGAGAATATAAACTTTGTTCCCCTCAATACCATTTTCCAGACTCATTAATTGTCCCATGCTGTTGCTGCTTTTTGCCCGAGTAGTTGAGACATAAAGCAGCCATAGGGAGAAAAATGAAGCTGGAAGGGTGTGTGATTTCAGTTTGGAAGAAGCATCGGGAAGGAAAAGTTATACAACCTTTTCTGACAGCACTAGGGTTCTGGTTTGATTTGGGAGTGCAGAGAGCAACCCTTTGTTTTCCAGGTATGGAGAAACCTAAGATCTGGAGATCATTTGTACTACACCATTATAGCATTATGATTCAATTTTCATTGTCATGGCAGCATGCTACAGAATCATTGAATTTGCAGTTTGGGGAGGGACTAGAGGAGCTCTTTGACTGGGAAATATAAATACCCCCCTAAACTGCAAATACTGGAATTCTGTGACGGTAGAATAGAATATAGGGTGCATCTACAATTAGAACTAAAGCAGTTTGAGACCATTTCAACTACTATGGCTCAATGCTCAATACTATGGAATCCTGGGAGTTGTAATTTGGTGAGGCATCACACTCTTTAGCAAAAAAAAGCTAAAGATGCTATGGAGAAAACAACTGAAGCTATATTAGTGCTGACATTGCTACCTTGGAGTCTTTAATGAGGGAATGTACCAATAGTTAAATGATTGAAAAATCAAAAAACCGCAACATCATATTCTTTAATATTTCTTTAGCAATATAAATGTTGTCACTGAAACCAGAATTTGGATTCACCATTCACCTCTATTTCTTTTCTTTTTCTTTTCATCCCTGCTTCTTTCAGATATGATCCTCGTTTCAACACATGGCTCCATCTGGCCAATATGAATCAAAAACGCACACATTTCAGCCTGAACGTGTTCAATGGCCTCCTTTTTGCAGTCGGCGGTCGCAACTCTGAGGGGTGTCTCTCTTCCGTTGAATGTTATGTCCCTACCATTAACCAGTGGCAAATGAAAGCTGCATTGGAAGTGGCTCGCTGTTGCCATGCCAGTGCAGTCATAGATGGCAAGATCCTGGTCACTGGAGGATACATAAATAATGCTTATTCCCGTTCCGTTTGTATGTACGACCCTGCCAGTGACAGCTGGCAAGACAAGCCCAGCCTGAGCACTCCGAGAGGGTGGCACTGTGCCATCTCCCTTGGGGAAAAGGTCTATGTCATGGGGGGGTCCCAGCTGGGAGGTCGTGGTGAACGTGTTGATGTGCTGCCGGTTGAGTGTTACAGCCCATATTCAGGCCAGTGGAATTACGTGGCACCTCTTCCAACAGGGGTGAGCACTGCAGGTGCTTCCACCCTCAGTGGGAGGATTTACTTAGTGGGAGGCTGGAATGAAATAGAAAAGAAATACAAGAAATGCATTCAGTGCTTTAACCCTGATCTTAATGAATGGACTGAAGAGGATGAGTTGCCTGAAGCCACCGTAGGAGTGTCATGCTGCACCATTGCCATGCCCAGCACTAAGACCAGAGAATCCAGGGCAAGCTCAGTATCTTCAGTGCCAGTTAGTATTTAAGGAGTTCATAATGTAGGTTTAGTAGGGTTAGATGTAAACCATTATTTAAAAGTTTGCCGTAATCCCTTTAGGGAGCCACGTGTGTCAATATCAAAAGGGATTAGGAGACCAATGGGCTAAATCCAATGTTGGTCCTACCTAGAGTAGATCTATAAGTATGAATCGTTGATCATTATTAACTGAAGTCCATCGTAATGATTCTGCTCTAGTTCAGGGGTAGGGATCACACAGTCCTCCAGACATTATTGGACTGTGGCTCCAAGCTTTCCTCACCATTGCTTAGGCAAGCTAGGGAAGTCTCATAACATCTGAAGAAGACTCCAGAAGAAAGCTTCTCATTTGCAATTCTTATTACATTGGAAATACATGGTGTAACCTGAGAGATATGAAATATTTAATTTTTTTGAGCACAAAACTGAGCCTTCAATTTTGCCACCAAACAACAATGTTGTTTGATATCTCATCTCATTTCTCTCACAATCATTCTCCAGATTGCATAGTTTACTTAGATAAAATTATTGAAATCCTGGCTTTCAACAGGCCAGCAAGTAAATGAATTTTGCGAGGGAAGATGCTACCCAAATTCTCATCAAATACAATATATTTCAATTCTACTCTTGACAATTCAATGCTTTGCATCCCTACTCAAAAGTTATTTCCATTGAGTTGAACAGGGCTCCTTCTAAGTAAGTGTGCAATCCTGTAGAGTTGTACTCAAAAATAAGCCCCATTGATTTCAGTCGGACTAATTCCCAGATAAATGTGCTCGGTAAAACTGAGAATTATATATTCACCTAGACTGCAACAGTCAGCATTCTTCACCTCAGGCTAGGCAGCTTAGGACTGCTGGAAGTTGCAATTCAACATCTAGAAAGCTGCAGAATTTCCATCACTGATGTACAAGACTGACATCTAATTCAGCATTTACAATAATCTTGATCATACCATGTTATATATTTTTTAAAACCTGAAAAAATATTGCAGAATTTTTCAAATATTGCTCCATTACACCATTAACAAAAAAGTTTATACTTTTGAAAATTATTGCCCTCTGCTCCAATACCTCATAGTAATAAGCAAGGTGAAATTTGAAACATCTTTTGGTCCAATGAGTAGTTTAAGTTTAATTAGTTCTGTTTAGGATAAATAAATGGGAAATTTTGGGATCCAACATCTTAATGTTAATTTAATTAAGCATTATCACTTGAATTGCTTATATTATGTAGTGTAGAAGAAGAATGAAGTATAATTAGATAAGTCTGAGCAGCTTCTTTTTGTTTATATACTTGAATGGCCTGGTCAGTGTTGCTCGGTCATACTTTATACCGATCATGTAAAAATTAGAAATCATGTCAGCTTAAGGTTATGCAAGGAAAAATAGCCCAATGTGTTTGGAGATTGTGTTTATTTATGAGTATGCATGTGGAAGTGCGGAAGATGATAAGACATGAATTGCTATGTCTCTGTGCCTACACAAATGTTCACCAAACTTGAAATGTCACAGTAGGCATGGTGCTACATGTCCTAATGTGTTTCACATTAAGGAGAAGTCAGAAAGGATGCTGTGGTTCATTGATGGGCCACATGTCAATTACTGCTAGTGGGTCTTCTACTGCCTGGGACTCATGAAAAATGTGCTTGAAGATGTATCTACTGCAGCACAGTGTTAATTAAACAATAGGCAAGAACATCATCAATAGGAAACAACTTTGGGCCACCTCTTCTGTTATGGTCCACCTCTGTTGTCCGGAGTCCCACTTTTCCCTGGCTAATGTGAATGCTCTAATTACAGAGAATTATCTCACAGTATTCTGATTGATTATAGTGGTACTTGCCTAGTAGCCATCAGTAATGCGCCATTGATATCCCTCTTCAACACAACATTGCATCCAGGTGGAAAAAAATGGGATGAAGAACAGAAGATTCATCCAGCCAATGGAAAGTGGAGATGTGCTGGCCAGGGAGGTCCATTAAACTGAATTCTGTAAAGAATGTCTATTTCAGATCATACGGATTAGTTATGTCTTAGGTATGAAGAGAACCTTGATACATATTCTTGATTGATGTGATTGTGGTAATGAAGGTGGTATCAGACCATGCAAGCTTCTTGCTCCACATCTAAATGGAGTGTATATGCGTATGACCTAGAAACACATATGCCCATCGTTCGCATCTTGAGGAGCAAAGTTTCCATGTTGCCAAGCAATGCAGATACTCTAAATGCAAGTGGAGATGGACCTCTTTGAAATTACATTGTAATTGCTCCATGGGTTTCTCCCCAGCTTCTGTACAATCAGGTTTCATGCATAGATGTGACAAGCAGAGATAGTCTTTGGTTATCCTGATATTTTGGGTTTCAGATGCCACAGTCCTTTAGCTATGCAGGGTAAAGTTGTTGTCTGTTGATGCACAGAAGATCTGGAGGGTGAAAATGTTACCCAATCCTAGTGTAAGGGCCATATGAGAAATGTTTGCAGAAAGGAAGATGAATTTTGCATCTTGTGCTCATGTTAAAAGAGGCCTCTGGCTGTTTATATTTCATGTCACACTATATTTCACAGTCTAGATCCAGATCTTATGAAACAAGTATTCACCAGGTTTCTCTGTTTCCGGTTAGCCATTTTATTATAGTATAAAATAGAGCTGTCCACCCAAGTCATGTTGTTGGATGCAAAATTAGAAGGCAAGGTCTGGAAGGGATGACAGTTTGCCAGGTAACAAGGCAATGCACTTGACAAGCCTTTGCGTAATTGCCTAAGGCCTATGTTGATTTGTTGGAGAACCAAGGCAGGATGTATCTGTGTGAGTGTTTTGTCCTGAAAAAGTGTATTTATAGCATCTTATATGACCTTTACCTCCAGTTGAAAGTTTATTGGGGTTGTGTCCTTTTCCCTAGGTATGACATGCATTTATGATGCACAAAAGTAATGATGTCGCATTAAATGTGGTCAGCCTTGAATCTAAAAACAGATGGACAAATGCCTGGGGTTGTGGGGCAACATTGACTCATTGTAGGACCTTGGAGGAAAACATCCACCCTCAAAAAGATCTTTAAAACTTCCTGAGTTATCGTTTTTTTGTCTTTAACTACCCCCCCCCCCAATTATTTTGTACCCAAAAAAGACCTTTTTCAAGCAGAAAGTAAACCATTATTTACATGCCTAGTGTTCTTAAGGGAGCCCCCGGTGGCTCAGCAGGTTAAATTGCTTAGCTGCTGAACTTGCTGACTGAAAGATTGGCAGTTTGAACCTGGGGAGCAGGGTGAGCTCCACTGCTCAGCTTCTGCCAACCTAACAATTCAAAAACATGCAAATGCAAGTAGATCAATAGGAAATCAAGGGTAACATGTAGATTTCTTTTCTTCCCAAATAGACACTAAATGTCATGCTTAGGAAATCAAGGGTGACATGTAGATTTCTTTTCTTCCCAAATGTCACACTAAATGTCATGCTTAGGAAATCAAGGGTGACATGTAGATTTCTTTTCTTCCCAAATGTCACACTAAATGTCATGCTTAGGAAATCAAGGGTGACATGTAGATTTCTTTTCTTCCCAAATATCACACTAAATATCATAAAAAGTCTTGTATAAGGTAACACACTGATAAAGTTTTATTTGGCATAAGCTTTCATGAACTCTATGTGCCCAATGCAGCTGGCTAGCATCCACGAAGCTTATTCCAAATAGAACCTGGTAGCTTTTGAAGAGTGACAAGAATCTTGGTCTATGTTGCTGATCCAGCCCTAACCCCACCATTCAAAATCTGAACAGAATCCTCCACTGGTCTATATTTCTGTTACTTCTCAGCCCTCATTTCTAAGCCACTATAAAGGATGGACTCCCTGGTGGCACAGCAGATTAAACCATTGAGCTGCTGAACATGCTGACCGAAAAGTTAGAGGTTCGAATCCAGGGAGCAGAGTGAGCTCCCGCTGTTAGGCCCAGCTTCTGCCAACTTGGCAGTTTGAAAACATGCAAATGTGAGTAGATCAATAGGTAGCACTTCTGCAGGAAGGTAAGCGCTCCAGCAGTCATGCGAGCCACATGACCTTGAAGGTGTCTATGGACAATGCCAGTTCTTTGGCTAAGAAATGGAGATGAGTACATCCCCCAGAGTCGGACACAACTAGAGTCAATGTCAGGGGAAATCTTTATCTTTTATATGCATAGTAAGATTAAAGTCAAATTCTGTATTTATGGCTGCATTTTGAGTTGTCCAACCCATTTAAAAGGATACTTGTAGATGGAAAAGTATTTATGTTAGAGGTAAAGACCCCTGAATTTGCCATCTCTTGCTCAAATATTTCAAAACTAAGGACTGGCTTGAACTATGCTTTAAAAAAAATCTCATCATCTGAAGATTTGCCTTAAAGTCATTGAGGCCAATAATGATCTAAAGAATATTTACTAAGGCTTGCCTCCCTGTTTACTGCTACTCACCTGTGTGTTGACGGAATCCTGATAGGCAAAAATAGGTATGTCAAAACTTTCCATGAATGGTGAGGTGGCTGCAAATTTCTTTGGGTCATACAATAGTTACTGCAATGAAAAAAATGGTATCCACAACCAACGAGAAATGATTAGTATACGATTGAAGACAGATCAAAGGATGAAAAATGCATAATATTCAGCTTGAAACCATTTTCATAGTAACAATCTTAAGATATTGTGTCAGTTGCAGTACCTCGATAAGCACATGTTTTATAAGAGGAGCAGGAATTATTGTCCTTGGAAACTAAATGTGATGCTTGTTAATCATACTACTGATGATTCACTGATTTATAATGCATTCGGTCACGGAAAAATGACTTTCATTTTCTAATCATGAGAATGAATAGGAGAAATATTTTGTTTGTGTACATTTTCCTCTTCATTGTAGATATAAATTTACAAATGGAAAATAACTGTACTCAGCTCCTTGTCATATTGTTATGTCTATAAATACACTTTAAAGAGATGGATTATTATACTATTTTTAAAAATCTTGTTTAGCCTGAAATTGATTAACAATATTCTGTTTTGACAGGAAGATGGACAACATTATAGATTCAATGGGATTTTGTGGTTTTGTTTTTTGTTTTTAATTCATATGGTGCATACTATAATTGGAATTATAATAAGCAGTCCTCAAGCTACAGTAGGCACCATATGAAGTAAAAATAAGTCAAGAAGAGAAGACTTGTATCCAGGATTAATTTGTAAACAGAAGATGGCAGAACCCCATTAGTAGGCACTTATAGCTTCCAATTAAATCACTTATGTGCATCATCAATGAACTGCAACCTATTTTGGATAATAATGCTATCATCTTAAGGCAATTACTTCCCTTACTGGTAATATCAAAAGTTACATGCCTACAGGAGGATGCACAACGCAGATGAAAAGATGTGTACAACCATACCACAAACCAATCCATACATCTACTTGGAAAATGTCCTCACAGGACCTGATTACATTATCCGCAATATTAGAAGTACTTTCTTTTGATTATTCTCTAGTGTGATAAACCCATGTATAAATCTAGAAATTTCAGTCAGAAAATCAATTTATTAAATCTAGGTTGATTTATCCATGGGTCAATGTGAATACTGTGCATTAACTTATCAAAATAGGAACCATCCCATTCTCTGAGTAGAGTGGCGAAAAACAAAAGCTTAGGCCATCCCAGAAGAACCTGAAAATATCATGAATCTTCTCTACTCTCCCTTCGAAGGGACTACTTCTGCTTTCTTTGAATGCCTGGGGAAATGTTGGTGGCAGCCAGGAAAATGGTGGTGGCAGCCTGGATCGACTGGCCTCCTGAGATAGCATTGGTGCATTTCCCGCTCGGTGAAATGACCTTTGATATGACCCATGAATTTATAATGGGCTAAATATTGCATGGATCTTTCAGAAGGGTTATTTCCCCCCAGTATCATCTTTTCAACAATGAGCCCCATTGAGTCAATGGGAATTATGCCCAAAGAAATTTACCATTTAAACAATACTTCCCCTTTCATGTATGCAGAATACAAATATCATGCTTCTGGTCCCACTACTCACATACCTCTGGTAGAGAAGCTAAAAGTTCATCCATACAGCTGTCTCTGTGTGACACATGTCATGTTCACACTATTCCGAGAGCTTGATATTGCAGAGTTTCAAAATAGATGGAAAACCCCATATCAAGAATAGAGAATTTTTGGTCCTCTGGGTGTTTTTGAATTGCAGGAATAGTAGTCCAAATACTGAGGGCCAAATACTTTCACTAGTCAGGATATAGGTACAGAGATTTTCACATGCTACCTTCCTTAGCAGATGTTTGATGTTAGCACTGGGACTGATAGCACTCTTTGGAAGAGAAGACCTTGTACAACTAAAATGAAGATGAGAAGATTGAACCAATACTCAGGTCCTTTGCAATGGGTTAAAATGATGTTGACAAACTGGAAAGCACAGAAACCTGAAATCAAACAATTTTGTTATAGTAAAACAGAAAAAGGCACATACGATATGGCTGAAAATGTATGTCTGAACAACAAAAAGAAAAAGGCTATATAACCAAACAATAAAAATGTAATCCAATTAATTTATTAAATCAGAAATAAGGCATACATTATTCATACAGCAACAAAGAACTGGTGGGATTACAAGCCTGAAGAAGTTACAGAAAATGAACATGTCAAAATACTCTGGGACTTCCAAATTCAGACAGACAGAGTTTTGGAGCACAATACTCATGACCTCAGAATCGTGTTAAAAAACAAAGTATGGATTGTCGATGTTGCAATCCCAGGCGACAGCAGGGTTGAAGAGAAACAACTG